ATATAGCACTTTTCAGGAGCAAGGTGATTGAAAGTGCTTTAAATGATTAGGAAATGAAATAAAAATAAAAATAATGCAAAAATGATATGGCCCATCTCTTGAATGAGCTGAATGTTTTTTTTATAAACTGCTAAAATAGCACAACAAAGCTACTGTAGATGGCAAAAAATATGGGAATTTAAAAAAACAGCAAAACAAGAGTGAGAATGCTGAGTCAGCTGTCAGACAAGTCACTTCCTGCTTGTCCTCTTGTTCCTGTTTCACCACAGCTCTTTCTGAATCAAGTTTTCTTCCAGGTTTTTTTTATGCTCCGCATTCTGAGAGAAACTTCTCCATCACTTGTCTTTAGTGTTTAAATCCCTTGTGCTCCACGCAGTTTATCCAGCGTGGCGGTGAGCGAGTTATACCTCACTGCAACAGTTTTGCCCCCATCCTCTCTTATCTTCTTCTATTTCTGGACCTTAGCGGTCTTTAAAGAATGCTACTGCTGCAGCCGTGTCTAGACTGTGGAGATTAACAGACCGTCTCTGTGAAAGCAGCCGCGACTAAACTGATCTCACTGTGAGAAGCTGCTGGTGTTTCATTTCTGATGCTCCTCTGGGACATCAAGCTGATGAAACACAGATTCAGTGAATGTTCTGGATTTTTTTGAGCTTAACCCAAATTGAAACAGCCAATGTTGTGAGTTTCTCTTYATTTGTTTTGTAAAAAACATCTGATTGGTTAATTAGTTGATAAAAGCAATATGAATGTGTTTGTATTGTCATGTCAGCAGCTTGTAAAGTAAAAAAAAATGCTTGTCTAAATATCTTCTTCATTTTTTCACCAGAAGTGGTGCAGTTTTGAGACGAAACAATAAATTAACCACAAAAATATCATGTTTGTTCTCTGCTGTTTCAAAGACATTTTCTAAATGGTGATGGAAAGGAGCAAGTTTCAATGTGAATTTAGAATTTTACTGAATGAAATTCATCYTTTTTTATCTTCAGCTGTAGGATGAGACTCATTAAGAGCGGTGCAGAGGGCGGCTTCACTTTTCCTGTTTGGCAGGACAACAATGAACAGAAACCAGTGTGGGAGCTCAGAAAGACAGCGGCCATGACATCACTGACCGACAAAGCCAAACCGCACGGCTGTTTTGGTTTGACCACCTGTTAACGTTCCATTCCCCTAA